GCACCCCCCCCCCCCCCAGGAGTTGACAATCCGGGGTCTGAGGATGTTGAGGATTAGTTGAAATGCTTATTGGATAGTGGACTGGTCAGTTCCCCCTGCCCCTGTGCCTCCATCACCCCGGTCTCCATGGCATTTCCACAGAACCTGGAGTCACCTGGAGCCCCGGCTCCATGTGGTGCTGCAGCTTTGAAATGCTGTAGAGAACCCTGGGATCAGCTGACACCAGGCTCCATGGGGGTGCTTCTGCTTTGAAATCTACATTTCAAAGGAGAAATGCGGAAGTGCTCAGTTCCCCCTGCCCCTGTGCCTCCATCACCCCGGTCTCCATGGCATTTCCACAGAACCTGGAGTCACCTGGAGCCCCGGCTCCATGTGGTGCTGCAGCTTTGAAATGCTGTAGAGAACCCTGGGATCAGCTGACACCAGGCTCCATGGGGGTGCTTCTGCTTTGAAATCTACATTTCAAAGGAGAAATGCGGAAGTGCCTTTGGACTAACCAAGTAGTCAATAGAAATTCCACTGACTACTCGACTAGTAAATTAATGTATATTTATATCCTTACATGGAGCTTTATGTTAAGGGATGAGGCTTATGGTTCCAGTTAACTGGTAGCTATACTCTACACAATTGCCTTTATTTTGAACTGATATCAAGCTGGAGGACTTCTTACTCCAAATCATGGGAACCCTCATTTCATGAGGAGTAAGGGAAGTCGAAGGAAGAATATTCTTCCTTCAACTTCATGCTGTGTAGACAGCACCAAAAAGCCGAATTAAGTTATTTCGATTTCAGCTACACAATTGATATAGCCGATGTCTTAATTCAACTTTAGCCCTGCTGTATAGCTGTACCCTTATTGTGCTAACAAAGTTAGCAAGCTTCAATTTTTGTACTGAATTCTAACTCTCAAGTGTTTTTATAATTATGGGACTTTGTAATGTTGGTAATCAATTAGTTTCTTCCCCCTTCTCTTATTTTGGCCATAATTATATATGCAGTAGATAACGAGTTCTTTTTTTTTGTATCCATGTAATGCAAAGTAATTATTAATCCAAGATTTTTTTCCTGTGTGAGCTCATCAGATTTGCATTTCCAACACACAAACTTTAATGTGGAATTTCTGCACAGATCAAAGGAAATCTCCATATTGGTTGAGTTCTGAATCCTTCTAAAAAGATAGCTTGCAAATTAAACTAGTCATTTTATTATGTGCTTAGCTGAGGTGACATTTATTATAAATTCTAGGAGTAAATGGACTTTGTTTAGGAATCAGTGTTGTTTATTCAGGCCTGTGCATTGGAATAGCAGCTGCTGCCTTTTCATGTCCTTAATGAAGACCTTCCCAACTTGGGTCCACCTTCATTGCTGTGTTCTGTGCCATCTTTGGAGCAAGAACAAAATTCTTTTAACTAGTATGTGTTTCATTGCTCTGCACCAACACTGTGTATGGGTTTCAAGGTACAAGAGAGCCTCGCTACAAATTGATTAATTTAATCTTTCATATGCTAATTTCTTTATGGTACGTCCAGATTTACATTTATGTATTAGTCTAGAAAACAAAAACTAGCTTTTAAATGTATATTAAGCTGATTACTTTACATTTGAAAGACAGCAGCTAATGATTTAACTCATCTTCACAGGGATCAGGAACTTTCTCTGTAAAGTACTCAAGCAGGAATATGCCAAAGGGATATAGTTTTTTTCAGTAAGTATAACATTTAAATATGAAGTCTGAAAAACCTGGAGCTCTTAATTTGCAATCACATTAAATGTGTTTTTGTCTCTCTCCTGCTAACTAGAAACAAGGACTCGTGGGTTCAGTTCTCAGGATTTCACACCGATTTACACCATCATAAGGACAAATCTTTGGTATGTGACTAAGTAGACTTTCTTATTATATGCATTACACAAACTCAGAATTATTTGTGTATAAGTGAGGGTTTTTTAATATGCAAAATCCACATTAGGAAAAGAATACTTATGAGTTGGATTATTATTCATTGAGGTCTCATTTTAATGAGGTACTAGGTTACAAACTATTTAGAATAGAAAGATAGAATTCTTGTGGGAAATCCTTTCATTTTAAAATATGTATCGTATATACTTTAAAAGGAGAAACTTTAATTCCCATTTTACTTAAACTCCTTCTGCCAGGATAAGAGCAAACATAAAATGTTTATGTATTTCTCATTAGTTGTCAATTGACAACAGTGCAGGGACTGAGAAGGTGACTCTTCTCTAGTGCCAAAGTAGTATTAGATTGGTTTTAGGGAAGAATCTGCAGCTCTTCAGTTAACTTCCATTGTTTTGAGTCCTCTTGAAAAGCCCATGCTCTCCTGTTCAAGAAAATGTATCGTACTAGCTTCTGAATGCTCAAAATTTAGAGGCCTAGTCTATGCTGGAAAAATAAGGTAGTCTAACTATGGGTTTTTTTTAGGGGGTATATGCTCAGCATAATTAAGGCAACCTAACCAACCACTGTTGCTTCCACTGTTCTTTCATAGACCAAAGTACTGCCTCTTGCAGAGGTAGATTGCCTGTACTTACAGGAGAATATAGGTCAGTGGGCTTAGTTGTGGTGCTGTAGTGTTTTAAGTGTAGCTGTACCATACGTTAGTGTTTCTCAGAGTATGTTAACTGGCTGAGGCACTTTTGTTTATTTACTGGTGCTGCGGCTATGGAACCTTGCAGCTCTATTGGCTCCATTTCACTGCTTGCAGCCAAGGAGAGCCGTGGGAAGCGGTGTGAGGCAGGCCGCTGCTTCCCGCAGCTCCCCTAGGCTGCAAACAGCGAAATGGAGCCAGTAGGAGCTGCTGGTAAATAAACAAACTGCTGCAGCCAGTTAACAGGTTTCTCAAAGTGCTTTCGCGGACCACTTTGAGAAACACTGCCCTAAGTCATGCACTGCTCTTCTGTCCTTGACAGAATTGGTAATAAGTGGCTAATGAGCCACAGGGTGGCAGTACTATACATAAATTAGGTTAATATGACTATAGTATTTTTCCCCAGGCAGGATAGTAGGATGTATAGGATAAATGTGTATTGTATAAATTGGTTAAGGGTTATAGAGAGCTGTCACTTAACTTGTCTCTTTCTTACAAAATCTAGGTATCCATTTCAGATGAACCAGACACGTTATACAAGAAATTATCAGTTTTAGTTAAAGGTCATGATAAAACTGTGTTGGACAGTTATGAATATTTTGCAGTGCTTGCTGCTAAAGAACTTGGTATCTTCATTGAAAAAGTGTAAGTGTGTGTGTGTGTGTGTGTGTGTGTGTGTGTGTGTGTGTGTGTGTGTGTGTGACCGACCGACCGACCGACCGACCGACCGACCGACCTTGTTTGGGTTTCTACTTGTAAAACAACACTTGTTATGGAATCCATACTTCTAGAGTTTTGAGGTATGGCCAGGAGCACTTGCTGTGCAAACCTCTCAGGGTTTCAGAAGTTAAAGGCTTACTCTGAAGGTATTTTTTAACTAATTTGAAGCCACAGGGATAATATTTCCTTGAATCTCTAAATGACTTTCCTTATAAAATTTCAGATTTTTTTTTAAAGTTGGCTTTACACAGTGTGTTTCACACATCAGTAGGATAAAATAATAGTTAAGGACCACACAGCCAAAAGCAATATCTATTACACATTCAGCACTACATTAAAGCAAGACATCCGTAAAATATCTTGCCCAGGGTTGTATTTAAGTACTTTTTCAAACTTGTAAAGACAGCATCACTGACCATGTAAGCAGTCCTATTATCATCTAGCTGAATTTAGTGGTCATGATTTTCTTCTCTGTGTCTTCTAATAATTTTGTTTATTAAGCCAAAAATGTGCCCACCCCTCCCCCCGCCCCCCCCGGCGATTGTGATACCAAAATACACTGGTACTTTTCACTCTGCCTTGTTCACTTTGCAAAATACCAACTAAAGCAAAGCATTAAGTCCTGATGGGTTGTTTATAGATATGATAAACAATACTTTGATTTAAAAAGGGATTTGAATGTGATTTTAAATATGAAATAATGTGTTTAAATTGCATGTTAGACATGAACCTCCCAGGAAGATAGAACGATTCACCCTTCTAAAGTCAATACATATTTTCAAGAAGCACAGAGTTCAGTATGAAATGAGGACACATTATAGATGTCTGGAGGTGAGTGTATTGAGGAAAGAAGAGAGCTCAAATAGAACTTCATACATATGAAAATGCAATTTTGACAGTACAATTCCTGAAATCTCCATGTACTGATTTTACATTTAACTCCAGAATACAGATCTTCCTAACGCTTTTTCAATGGATACTAAAAAGAATACGTATCTTTGATGCACTTCATGCACCCTGCATTTAAAATATTATGTAGCCTTAGCCCTACTGTTCTATGTCTGTTGGGAGAAGGATATTGTTGTTTAACGTACGTTTGTACCGTGCCTAGCAAAGTAGGTCCTGACCTAGTTTAGGATGCTATGTAATTCCTAGGAGTGGCCTTTCTAAATATCAGCTGCACAAATGAAACTCTAGGTTAATCCCAAGAGGCTCTGTAAGTAAACAAAGGTGTGTGTTTCTACAGGTGCAGAATATAGGTATTAGGTAAACACCTGATTTTTGGAGTGCTTGCTCCTACTTACTGTGAAGTTTGAGTGCACAAAGATTATGCTAATTCTTTGCCTATGATGAAAGGAAGGTTGAATCCTTTGCTATGTGTTCTAGCTTCTCTGACTTTGAGGAAATTTTCCCATCAATGCATGTGCCTATTTCATTATACAGCAATATACTAATAACAGAAAATATGGCTACTTTTATTTCAAAACACTTTCTGTGTTGTTTTAGTTAAAACATTTAACTGGCAGTACAGCTGATGTCTATTTGGAGTACATCCAAAGAAATTTACCAGAAGGGGTTGCCATGGAAATAAAAAAGGTATAATTGAGTTGCTTTCTTGAATTTCAAATAGAGTTATGGATGAGTCTAGTTTTAAGATGAATCAGATGACAAATGGCAGCCATTGATGTCTGCTGGGACTATCATCAAGTGTTGTCTCTGAAATGACACTCTGGATTGGGGAGAAGAGGAGTTTTCTGGGGAGCAAGGGATCCAAATAGTAGGAAACACAAGATGAAGATGAGATGGAAGCTTTTTTTTAAAATGGCTTCTACCAGTTGTTCTTTTTTCAGTATCTAAATAAGTATTTGTAATTTGATATAGGTAAATATGAATACAGCAAGATAATTTATTCGGAATGAGGGAGTTTGTCACATCCAAGGTGCAGATTGGTAGATATAATTGTTTGCTTTGTTTTGTAGACCAAATTAGAGAAGCTACCTGAACATATTCAGAAGCCAGTTTGGGACAAGCTACCTTCGGTAGAAGAAACTGCAAGCACATCATGAGCTGTTCATGTACTAAAGCTCTTCTATGCCTGTTAACATCAGTTCAGTCTCTGCCTGTTCATATTTAAAAAACACAGCATCTTAACAGGCCCTCAATCCAATGTCAAACCCTGTCTTAATTTTTTTACAAAGTGAGCATGAGACAGGTCTCTTGCTTCCCTAATTATCAGCAAGTGTGGATCCCAGCCCATTAGCAGAAAGACTGAAGTGCTGTGAAAATGTTTTGACTATCTTTTTCTTTGTTCAAAGTCCTATGTAGCCAAAATGATTAATTTAAAATGAACAGTAATAGTTTATTTGTGCATAAACAACACAGGATTTATGAATGTACTGTCACTGAGGTTGCTATGTGAAGCACATATCTTGAAGTTCTTGCATGACTCAAAGTATTTTTTGCTGGGGTAGTCTACTGAAAAAAGGATGGCAAGAAAGGGACCCAAGGTCAGACACAAACTTGGGTGGAACAGGGGTTGGAGCACAGTCCTCTTGAAGGTCCAGGCTCACCACTGAACCAGGGAAAAAACTTGGATCAAGCCTATCTCATTCCCTGCTTTGCCTCTGCTGCTCCAACAGGAACACTTTGATCCACCAGCCCCCACAGCAGCAGATCCTGCATCCCATGATAGCCAGTCTGCCTGCCCCTAAATTCAGAAAGCTGTTGGTTAGAGGTAACTCAGTAGAGGTCAAATTCAGGGAGAGTGATAGTCAGTTGGAGTAGGGCTGTGCTGTACCTAATGGCCTGGCTTTCTCCTGGGATGCTCTGGTCCTTATTTTGAAACTGACATGCTGTGGGGGAGGAAGGCAGGTCAGGGTCAATGGCCAGATGCACTTGCTGTGCAAATGAGCCCATCCCCAACCCCAGGGGCATTGTGCTTAGGGGACTATGATTCTGTAACCACAGAGCTTTTGAAGGAGATTGGTGCACCTAGGACAATATGCGAATCCTGCAGGTCACAGCTTATCACTCTCTCTCTAACTTGGGACCCTGTTCAGTGCTGGGGCTGGTCCCATCCTTCCTGAGCCCCTGATCCATGCACAGCTCAGCAGGCAGGAGACAAGACTGCTTCCCTACCCCCCAACTCTAAAATCTGTGTGGGATGAAGGGAGAAGCTGAGAGGACATTCTTCTAGGTGTATCGGTGCATTTAGAAAAGACTGGCTGATTCCCTGGGCAGCCTCCTGCTACTCTTAAGACAGAATAGGTGACTCTTCTCTGAGAACCCTCCTCTGGTTCTCAAGGCATGGGACCCTCTGGGTATTGCTCAATTAAATCAGGCAGATGTCTTGCTTGAAGTTTCAATTCCTTCCCCCCTCCCTGAAGGAGGAAGAGCCCAACATTGCATGAGACTTTCCAGACCAAGGAGACTCCAGTGGGATGCCAGTTAGCAGTTCAGGCTAGAAATTGGATCTTCCAGTTTCCTTTCCAAGCCTCCGCAGTGTAAAATTGCCTTCCAGCCCTTTTCATCAGGCTCACCTCCAATCTATATTGGAGCATGTTTATGTCTTGGGATTCTGCCATCAGGTTGCCTAGCCTGGTATCCAGGCATTTTGCAAAAACCTTGTGCAGAACCTACAATGGAAGGGAGAGCTGGGGCTACACCTGCCACAGGATAGTAAGGTGTGTGAAACCCTGCTGAGACCCCGAACACATTGGCTGTGTCTAGACTGGCAAGTTTTTCCGCAAAAGCACTTGCTTTTGCGGAAAACTTGCCAGCTGTCTACACTGGCCACTTGAATTTCTGCAAGAACACTGACGATCTCATATAAGAAATCAGTGCTTCTTGCGGAAATACTATGCTGCTCCCGTTCGGACAAAAGTAGACAGCTCAGATTTGTTTTGCACAAAAAAGCCCCGATCGCGAAAATGGCGATTGGGGCTTTCTTGCACAAAACCGCGTCCGTGCCAATCTAGACGCTTTTTTCCACAAATGTTTTTAACGGAAAACTTTTCCGTTAAAAGCATTTGTGAAAAGTCATGCCAGTCTAGACGTAGGCATTCTGGCCTCTCTCAGGCACATCCAACTGCGGGCTTTATCCCTGGTCATTTCTTGTTTTTCTGGACTAGACAGTTTAGAAAATTTCAGACTGCATTGGTGCTCAACCCCATGAAACAACCCTTTTTCCTCCACAAAGTGCTTTAATGCCCATTATCTTTAACACTCAGACTCAATTCTGCCAGGAGTTACAGAAGCCTCTCTTTGCATTGGACAAAGACCCATGAAGTATAGAGAAGGGAAATGACCAGTGTGATGATACAGCCAGAGAGAAAAGCCAATGATTCTCACTCTAATCAACAGACAGCAAACCCCACAAAGGCAGGGATAAAGCATGGAAATTGAGATGGTGAGAAAATTTTATTTGAAATAGTTTTCTGTTGGAAAATCCCATGAATATTCAACAAATTTTGTTTTTTGAAATCATGAATCAATTTGGATGAGAATTCTTTGCAAAAATATATTTTTACAAAACAAAAGCATCTCCTGTTTGTCAAATACCATTAAATTGTCTCATCACAAATGGAGATTCAAAACCAACATAAGTTACTTCAGTCTGAGCTTAATAGTTGCTTCTCACAATAATCTAAATATAATAAAATACCAATTAAAACTGACAAACAGCAAAGCCTATTTATCACATTTTATTGAGACAGTGGCCAGACAATATCATCAAGAATTTGGATAATCAGGAAAGTGCGAGGCTGCATTGCCATCTAGAGGTCACAGGAGAAATTGCCTGCTTCTGTACCTGTATGCACTGATTATTGGGTTAACATGGAAACCATAATGGAAGGTTGGAAAAATGGGATTCTACTACACTACCCTTAATTTGTACTCAACGTGATAAAATACCTCATATTATACACTGTTACTAGTGTCATATCTCCCTAATCTCTCTCAGCCATGAGACAGGTAGGAGAGGTTTGTTATACCTAAATGTCAGGGAGAAAGGAAGGCAGAGACAGGTGAAGGTCTTGTCTTCAGTTACATGGTCAGGGGCAGCATAGGAAATGGGACCCAGAAGCTGTAACTTTCACACTAACTATCAATCTGGAAAGTGTCAGAGGGGTAGTCTTGCTAATATCTGCTAAAACAATGAGGAGTCCTGTGGCACCTTAAAGACTTAACAGATTTATTAGGGTAGAAGCTTTCATTGGTAAAACACACTTCATCAGAAGAATGGAGTGGAAATAACGGGAGGGATACACATAAGGGAAAAGTTGCTTGTATTAATGAAGCTAATCAAGTAGGGGTGGAAGTGGGTAATTCACAGCATTTGCTATGGAGACGTGACTATCCAGAGGGGAAATTGCCTTTGTAATGTGTTAACCAGTTGAGATCTGTATTCAATTCTAAATTGATAGTGTTGAATTTGCAAATGAATTCCAGTTCAGCTGTCTCCCTTTGTAATTGGGTTTTGAAATTCTTTTTTAAAAGGAAGGCTGCTTTCAAATCCACAAATAAACGTCCAGGGAGGTTAAAGTGTTCCCCTATAGCAGTGGTTCTCAACTTTTTTTATACTGTGGACTGGCAAATTCATTCAAAAACAGCTAGTGGACTGGCACTGAAATGTTTGCATTTATGTGTTATGATAATTTATTTGCATATTTGTTATGGTAATTTTAGACCATGGTATATCAGGCAAATCAAAGGAGGGGGGACATGATGGTTAACAAGAATTTGAAAAACTGCTGTGCGCACACATTTAAAAAAAAAAACAATAAAATAGTTGCTAATACTTGTTAAAGTGTTCTCCAGTCCAAACCTGTTGTCTCAATTGCAGCAGAATTAAAGAGGCAGTAGCTAACCGGTCTGACAGTGCTGACACATACTGCACATTCATATTTTCCTATGCACTTAAAGCATAATGATGATGCATGTGCATGCTGGCTGGGAGCAGTTGGAAGCCAGGGGGAGGCTCCCACCAAGCAGGAGGGAGACTTGGGTCACAGGCAGCCACAATTGTGCCTTGCTTGGTCCCAGCAGTCAGGGCAGCTGCCCTTCACGCAGTGGTTGGCCCCCGTGGCTGGGGCAGCTGCTCTCCATGTGGCGATTGGCCCCAGCATCTGGGGCAGCTGCCCTCCACATGGCCCCACCAGCCAGTTTGCATAGCGACCACCAGAGCTGGAACTGCGGCCAGCTGTCCCAGTAGGGACAGCCTCACCATGGCCCCGGCTCTAGCCTCAGCACAACACCTGGTTGCCAGCTGCACCACTCACCCTGCTGCTGCATGGGGAAGTGGGCGGGAAGTAAATTTTTTGTGCACATGCAGCAAGGGCCAATTAAAAACTGGGGCATAGTCTGGCAATGTGCTGCAGCCCAGCAGATGGGTTTGTGGTCCGCCGCCGGTCCACGGACCAGTGTTTGGGAACTGTTGCCCCAAGGATTATGTGTGTTACCGTTCCTGATGTCTGATTTTGTGTCCATTTATCCTTTGGTGCGGAGACTGTCCGGTTTGGCCAATATACACAACCGAGGGGCATTGCTGGTACTTGCAGGGGTGGCAGGTTTGTATAATTTTTGGTGGTGCCCCATTAGCCACACCTCTGACCCCTGTTAACCATGCCCCGACCCCCATTAACCAGGCCTCTGAAGGTAACAGGCTCAGGGCAAGATGGACACATGACCAGAAGTAAAAGGTGTCATGTCACCCCTCTCAAAGGACTCCCACCATCCTCCTACAAACAGGGATTAGTTTGGCCCCCACCAAACCCCCCTCATGTAACTATCCTGCAATTGCATTAACTCAATGTGTATGACATTAACTCGGGGGCAGAGAGGCTGGGGGAAGTGTTCCCTCTAAGGCTATGTCTACACTCGGCTAGAGTTTCCCCTATAATATGTACCAGTTCCAACTTACATACAAATTCAGCTTAAGAACAAACCTACAGTCCCTATCTTGTACGTAACCCGGGGACTGCCTGTATTTCTGTCCAAGAAAACTTGTATCAGCTTTGAAAGACGAAGCCAACCTGATTTTGTTTTTAATGGACGAATTTCATAACACTCCCGTTTTAGACAGAGCACCACCTAATAATGTGTGTTAATTTTTTAGGGAAAAAGAGTAGAGGAAATTATTAAACTTCATAATGGTTGTCCTTTTCCCATTCTGATGATACACATAAAGAAAGGGACTGACTAACTCACTATGCAAGGGAAACAGTGAAAATGACTTTATATATATCAAGCGTAGTCAGATAAACCATCTATCTCAATATGCAAACTGCGTATCTGAGGAGCATATCTGAGGAGTAATTCTAGAACAAAGGATTTCCCCACTTTTTTGTTTATACAAGTTCAATATCTGCATTAATTGTCTGTATTTTTCAGTATGCTTTTGTAAGTAAACAGAACACACACAAAAACAGCATTTGGATTTGGGTTGACAGGTACTAGAATACAGGCAAACAGATATGAAATGGTAACCTTGTTGGGAAAAATAAATATATAATAATGAGGTGGCAATCATGACATCATAAGAACCTAAGACCATAAAAATGGCCAGACCAGGTCATACGGAAGGTCCATCTAACCCAGTAGCCTGTTTCCAACAGTGGCCAATCCCAGATGCCCCAGAAAGAATGAAGAGTAACAGATAATCATCAAGTGATTCCTCTCCTGTCATCCATTTCCAGCTCCTGACAGAGGCTAGGGACACAATTCCTACCCATTTTGGCTAATACGCATTGATAGACCTAACCTCCATGAATTTATCTAGTTTTTTATCATCTATGTCAGGGGTGTCCAAACTTTTTTCAAAGAGGGCCAGATTTGATGAAGTGAACATGCGTGAGGGCCGACCATTTTGCCTGACATTCTTTGAACCATTAAAATTAAATGCAAATTAACTATTTTATGCAAAGTTTATTGCAAACGGCATACTTTTCATTTCGTCACATGGATGACAAATCTAAACAGGTGTTAAATCACTCTGCCTTTCATATCTGAAGGCCAGATGAAAAAAAAATCCAGGAAGCTGAAATATATGTCAGGAACATTGTAAAGTACATTACATATTATTGGTAATAAAGGTTGTCTGTCAACTTTTAAGTTCAAAAAATATGAACAGGAACATAACACCAAGTATACATGTTGTGTCCAAATATATTTATAACTGATTTAGACCAACTGACATTAACTGAGATTTTACAATGTATTCATCTCAATACATATGGATTCGTTGGGGGCCATAAAAGATAGATATTGCCAAATTACCTGTGGGGCCGTATTAAACCAGAACACGGGCCGCAATTGGCCCGTGGGCCGGACTTTGCACATGCCTGCTGTAAGCCTTCTCCTTGGTTCCACTCTCCTAGTTGTCATTTGTGCGGTATATTACTCCTCCTCTGAGAGTGCTAA